AAATTTTAATAAATTCTAAAATATCACAAAATTTACGTGATAAACCCGAATTATTAAAACCGGTTCCAATCTCTATTCTACATTATATCAAACTTGTCAATGATTTCTTTTAAAACTTATAGGCTTAGCACAAAACATAAGTGGGATGTTCGAAACTCAAGATACGGTTGCTCCTACTAATAATAAAACCAAAGCCCATAAACCTAACGGCAATAGTAAAAAAGCTAAAAAAGAAAAACAAGTTTATCACAATGCACCTATCAATGTTGATGATAATGATCCAACTTTATTAGAAAAAAATATTGGTACGTAGGTTTTTTAAGTTTTTTTTTATATATAGTTATTTTTTTTAATAATTAGTCAATTTTTTATATTTAAATAGAGCCGTTATCAGTATCTAGCAGTTCGAATATTCAAAGTAAGTGAGTCTAAATTTAAAATATTATGAAGAAGATGGGCTAATGTGGTAAATCAGGATTAGGTGATTTTAGTAGCTGTATGATGTTGCACTCGTCAACGATCTTTACGCAGTAATTATGCCATGAACATTATTTGTTATTACGTCCAATTATAATTTTGTGTATGAACCCAAAACTCGAATTTAACCATACACTTCATTCCACTACGTTCTTGGTATTACCCAATCTCATTGGATTACTTATTATTTACGGATTTTGGACATCAACAAGTAGTATTGAATGAATATCCGGATTTTCATGGATATTCAAAATTCATTTTTAATTGTGGATATTCACGTATCCCACCTCTACAATTTACCACATTAACCCACCGTCACCACAGTTTCTATAGTACTTTATATTGGTATATAAATTAATAGAAAATATTGGCACATCTTTAGCTTATCCAAGATGTTCTGGCCGCAAGCGTAAAGTAGCACAATAATTAATAATTACTGGCCTTTTTTCTAAGAAGCTTTGTAAGTAAATAAATTTAATTCGTATATTTAATTAGTATTTATTTATATCTAACTATATTTTCATTTTAATTTATATATATTTATATTTAATTATAATACCTATTTAAATCTAACATATATAGTATATATTTGCCGCAAAATTAGTACATATTTAATATATAATGTTTATGTATATGTAACAAAATATAAAAATAAAATATAAATTTGCTTTGATTTTTAAATAAATTTATTATATATTTATTACAAACTGTCTACAAAAACTGTATAAATGGATGCTCATAATTGTATAAAAATTGTTATATTAATTTTATTTACAATTTTTATACAAAAAATAAACAAAAACTTTTTAATGGGCAGGCAAATTTGCTACGAAACTGTGTAAGGGTAACTAATGCTGTGTAACTTTTGTATCACTTTGACAACAGTAAATGTACTCTGCTACGCTCCGGACAATCTTTTAACATTTTAAAATGATACAATTACCGAATGAATGTCTTGAGGAAATATTTAATCAACTTAAAAATTATCCCAGACACTTATTTTCATGTCTTCTTGTAAACCGTCAATGGTGTAAAATTATTGTTCCAATATTATGGAGTGAACCATTAAAATACTGCTGCGACAGAAAACTTATAAGCATATACCTTTTATCATTAAATGCTGAAGAAAAGGCTCCGTTAACTTCGTTAAATATACCCCTTTCCGATAATCCAAAACTTTTATTCAATTATGCATCTTATGCTACATATGGTAGTAGTTATCATTTAAAAAGAGGAATCATACATTATCTTTACCGTGAGGAATATGAATTTTATTATGACAAATATTATAAAATATCTGAAAAATACGATAATGTGGTTAAACCAGTCGAATATTCTTTAATTAAAATGTTAGTACGAACAAGTAAAAAAATCAAGTATTTCTACTTTAGTAAAACAGCTAAGAACATATTAGAGAAAATATCAGAAGAAATTCTTTATGAAACCATCACTATTACTTGCTTAAAACTTTTTGAAATTAAACTTAGTTTGAAAACCATAAAAGCACTAGCAGATGTTCTTTGCAAAAACGTCGGTCTGATTTCATTAGAACTTCTTAGTTGCAATCTTGCTTTTGAGGGAGCGAAGATATTAGTAGAGGCTCTTTATGATAATAAAACTTTATCCACCCTAGATCTTTCCAAAAATAATTTTGGTATTGATGGGGCTAAAACAATAGCAATGTTCTTTATAAAAACACAAATCTAACGTCCTTAAGACTTAATTCTAATCAATTTGGTTTTAAAAGTGGAGAAGTACTTGCAAAAGCTCTTTACAATAATACCACAATAACATCCTTAAGTCTTTATGTTAATAATCTTGGCGTTGAAGGAGGCAAGGCATTAGCAGAAGCTCTTTGCAGGAACACTACTCTGACCTCCCTGAATATTTTTAAAAATGAACTTGGTTTGGAAGGAGTAAAACCTATAGCAGAGGCAATTTGTAGAAATAACACTTTAACTTCTCTGGATATTGGAAATAATCATATTGGTTATTTAGGAGTAAAGGAAATGGCAGAAGCTCTTTGTAAAAATATCTCTTTAACTTCATTGAGTTTTAAGTGTAATCAACTTGGTTGTAATGAAGCTAAAATATTGGCAGAAGCTCTTCGTAATAACACTACTCTGACTTCCTTAAATCTTTCTTATAATCAACTTGGTTTTGAAGAAGTAAAAGCGATAGCAAAAGTTCTTTGTGAGAACAATACCTTAACTTTTTTAAATCTTAGTGGCAATTTTCTCACTTATGAAGCAGTAAAAGCATTAGCAAATGCTCTTTACAAGAACACTACTTTAACCGATTTAGTTCTTTCTGATAATAATCTTACTTTTAAAGAAGGGCAAGTATTAGCAGAAGTTCTTTATATAAATTCCACTTTAACTTCTTTGGGTCTTAGGCTTAATCTACTTGGTTATAATGGAGTAAAAGTATTGGTGGAAGCTCTTTGCAAAAACACTACCTTAATTGAGTTAAACATTTGTTATAATAAAATTAGCTTTAAGGAATACAAAATATTTAAAAAATTTCTTTACGAAAATAATCCCATAGTTTCATTAAATTTTATAATAAAATCGTGTAATTTGAAACCTAGTATTTAATAATAAAAATAAATATTATATTAACTTACAGACTACGCAAATTATGTGAGGTTGTTAACTATTTGTTTTATTGCATAACTGTTGATTATTATTCGTTTTAACTTTTGTTAATTGAAATGAATCATATTTATGCCTCAATAAATTCCCAAGAAAGCGCATGCTATTTGTTTCCCAAAAGTATTCTTATAAGTAGAAATCATGGTTTATATTAATATCAAATATCAAAAGCCAGGGTTTTCTAACATTTTTTTTCTTGAAGAGTATTATTTGAGTACTGTACATATTATTACATATTTCATGCGAAATTATGCATATTTGCCAATGAAATGCGTTTATACAAATGATAGTACATAAATAACGCGTACAAAAGACATGATTTTCAAAATTGCATATTTGATACGAAAAGACAGTACACTTTGTATGTACTTGGACCATGCCGGCAGACCATTTAGATCAAAGTTAATTTTTTGTTGAAAAGTTAGAAGAAATATGATAGAGAAGCGAGTAAATGACAGATTTGGCCAGAATGGCAATGACATCCCGAGAAGTAGCAATCATAATTGCGCTAGGAGTTGCCGTAGCCGTTGGGCTATTCCCGCCTGTCGAAGCAAGCCAGCTGTAAATAAAACCATGTAAGTGATGAAATGTAAGTGATGAAATGATAGGATTGCATGTCTTCATCTTGGAGCAAACTACCCAATGACACTCCAAATTTTAT